AGCCTCCGATGTTCAAACACGGCTCGTAAACAACATTAATATTTCTTCACACAGAAACGGCTGTTTCAGGACAAAAGGGCAATGATAACCTGCCTACCCACCCACAGATGTGCACTACACCACATTATGCTGAAAATGTGTTCACCGAAACCTGTAAGATTTTGAAAAATCATGGAAAGTTTCAACAAACTTTCTTTTCAATTTAGTAATTTAAGAGCGGTATTTATAAGGGGGCAATTTTATGATTTACTAGATGCCACAAAAGAATATCGAAGGCATACTAGTTACGCCGCTAAAATTCATATTCTTAGCTCAAGTATAGCAACTGCTTTACCGAAAATAAGACGGCGCTTAAATTTTTGGTGGAATAAATGGGAATCTACTTTGTTAAAAAAAATTACGAAGAGGAGTGAAAAATAGAATAGAGCAAAAGTGAAGTCTAGTTTAATGTATTTTTTTGCCATCATGGCAAGTCTTTTCTTTGTATTTCTCCTGATGCAAAATATGGAAAAGGAAATACAGCACTTCCGAAACATCCTTGGCCACTTACCTGATGCTCAGCAATCTTCTTGCAACCACATATAATAGTAATATATGGTCGATGAATAATAACGGAGCAACAGGTAGATCTGAAGAAAGCACTAAACACTTTTTAGCAGCCCGCTGTTGAAGGGAACCTCTACGGTGAGGAAACTATGAAAGGATTCAATTTCTCCGAAAGACTCACTTTTGCGACTCTTCGTGTGGAAGAACTGGAAAGCGCTGAAAACAATCAAACATTTTACACATGCTGCCGAAGAAATTTTAACTGTTTAACGGTGAAAGCAATAAAGAGTAAACCAGTCAAACTCGCCTTCTCGTAGGTATTGGGTACTCCGATACTGTAGCCATCCGAAGGCTTGCTAGGAATAAACTGATGGCTTGCCTGAGGGAAACTAAAACGTTTATATCAAAGTGTTTTGATGGAATATTCTTTATCTGCTTTTTCTTGTTCTTTTCGCATGTAGTGTTTTAAAGAAAAAGCAAGATCCAGTGCCTGAAAAGGGTAATCAGGTTTACTGAAAAGTGCAACGTGCAACGTGTTTATAGTAGTAGCACAGGATTGCTTCAAAAACTAATAGTAGTTTCCGTCGAAAAGTGGCAGAAATCACGAAAGATATATTGGAGGCTTGGGTAGGGTTGAAGCAATGAATTCGACGAAATGTAAAAATATACATACATAAATACATATTTATGTATGTCTGTATAGGAGTGGGTAGCGTAGTGCTAGTGATTCGGCTCATTGTGCGGCGGACCAACCCACCCACGCACTGGATCGGTCTTGGGCCGGACTTACTAAGCTTCTTATGCCCTCGTTGAGCACTTAACATTCCTGAGACAAGCTCTCTCGCTCTAATCTGCTTGGGAGCGACCTAGCTCTGTCATCACTGGATTCTAGGTAGAACCAACTCGACCAGTATTCAACGACATTCACAACAAAGACAGAAATCCTAAAGTAGTGTTTGGAGCACTCAAAATACTAAGATCTTCATGGAATATGGATGAAAGAGAAACAGTTGGGCGCAAAGAGTGCTGCAATCCCACAATGTGGTACATGTAAGGTCGTGTCGCGTAATAATAACAATTAGTAATAATAATAATAATAATAATAATAATAACAGAGGTAACGATAGTAATCCATCCAACGGTTTACCCCTTCATCGTGGCTGGGAGGTGTTCCTGGGTGACGGGCTACGATGTACAGCGTGGGATTGGTCTCTCCGCTAGGGTCTCCCAAGCTGAGAAGGAGTCCGAGGTTACCATCGGGAAGCCTAGCTAAGAGTAAACCAATACCAGGATCCACCACCGTCCTGGTATTAAAGTCGCATGGTGGCAAATCTCCCTCTGATCCACAAGGGCTGCAACTGCCCGTCGTGGTGACGACCCGGGGCAGACTTTGGCCAAGTTGTCCGCGGAATTCCAGGGAACAAAAATGGCTTAGCCAGCAAATCTCCGAAAAATAGTGATTATGCTGGAGCCTGCACAAGCGGTGAGGACGGGTATTTTAAGTATCAAGTAGGTGATAATAATTACAACAATTATATTATAAATACTTACTACAATACACGGATATTTAGACGACCCGCCCTCACTGGTTGTGCGGGCCACAGCATAATCTCCATTTTTCGGAGTTTTGCTACTTTAGCTATTGTGGTTCCCTGGATTCCCGAGGTCAGCCTAGCCAAAGTCTGCCCCAGGTCGTCACCTCGGCAAGCAGTCGCAGCCCTTGTTGATCAGAGAGAGACTTGCCGACATGCGACTAGTTTGATACCGGACGGCGACGGATCTTGGTAGTGGTTTACTCTTAAGTGGGCTTCCTAATGGAAACGCTTGACTCCTTCTTATCTTGGAAGACGCTGCTACGGGATGGATCTACCTGCTGCACATCCCAGCCCGACACCCAGGAACACCTCCCAGCTACGAACAGGCAGCAAACCGTTAGGAGGATCATCAATATCACCTGTAGTCTCGTCGATCGTCCAGTGACTCGAGCGGGTGCCAGTAAATCTTCGCGTGCAAGAGTAGCCTAGTGGGTTCTGCTTGCTCTAGGAACTCGTCGAGCATCACATCTTTCTTCTAGCCTGTTCGCGAAAAACTCTGACCATCGGGTCGGTGGTCTTCCTGCAGTACGTTTGACATCCCGAGGAATCCAGTCACTAACGACTCTTGTCCATCGGTTGCCATTCATACGCATTACGTGTTCGGCCCTCCTTATCTTTGACTGTTTGGTGTACAGAACGGCATCTTCGATTTTTGATAGTTGACGGAGGTCGGAGCCTCAGATCCCTTCCCTTACTTACGTGACTTGGGTTACTCCCAGCATCGTCCTTTTCACTACGCGTTCAATAACGCTGAGTGATCCCTTACCCTGCTTACACATCGACCAGGTTTCCGACACATGCGTTAGAGTAGGAGGTACCGTTGAGCCGAAAAGGTGGGCACGGAGTCGGTTGTTGCTTGTCCTCTTCACTACATCCTCGACGCTTTTGAAAGCTCCTGAAGCGGCTGGTTTCCTTCTGCTCAGCTCTTGAGGTAAGTCGTTTAAAATGTTGATTTTCCGACCTATATAGACATAACTGGAGCATTCGGAGATATTCGTTCCGTTGACCGTGAATGGGGCATACGAAAACAATCCGTTTCCCATGAACATCGTTTTTGTGGGATTTGGTCGAAGACCAATCTTTCCACAGGCTTTACAAAGTTGTCAAGCATACGTCCCGCTTGGGTAATGTTTGGTGTTAGAACGACGAAGTCATCAGCAAAGCGAAGATGGTGTAACTGCCGACTATCGATTTTCACTTACATATTATCCCATTCCAATGTTCGCATGACGTTCTGGAGGATGGCGGTAAATAATTTTGAGGAGATGGTATCGCCTTGCCTAACTCTTCTTTTGACGTCAATGTTAATATCGTTGTAGAATGCTGATACTTTGGGGGTGAAATTTTTGTACATCTAACGAAAAATCTTTATGTATTGAATAGCGACTCCTCGAATATCAAGGGCTTCCAAGACTGCTTATATCTCAACTGAATCAAAGGTCTTCTGTAAATCGATGAAAGTGAGACAGAGCGGTCTTTTGTACTCCCGCAATACTTTAATGAGCCTTGTTACCGTGCGGATGTGGTCCATCCAACCAAATCCTTTTCGAAACCCTGCTTGCCCACATGGCTGTCCTTCGTCCAGTGTTCTGTCAATCCTGTCTAGCATGACTCGAGTGAAAAGTTTGTAGACGACAGAGAGCAAGCAGATTGAGCGATAGTTGCCTATATCGTGTAGGTGACCCTTCTTGAACAATAACACGGTCCTGCTGATCTTCCACTGAGTAGTGGTCTTGCATTCAGACAGGTAACGTGTCAAGAGTCGAGCCAATGTGTTTACGAGGACTGGCGAAAGGTCATTCAAATGTTTAGATCTTATTCTGTCTGGTGGACCTGGTGCTGTTCGATTTTTCACCGACGAAATGGCATTTCGGAGGGGAGAACCGCTGGTAGTACATATCCATCCTCCTTTATTTCGTTTCAGCGAAGGAGGACTTGGTTAATGAAGAGATCTGAGTAGTATTCGTGAATAATTCTCTCCATTGCCTTTCTAGACGCTGTAACTGTTCCGTATGGGCATCGGAGTACTATCATCCTGGTCTTGTCCTTGGCGAAGCTTCAGTGGGCTCTGAGAATACTTTTCCCAGCCTCTGCCTCTTCGACCACTACCACTGCTACTGTTCTCTCTCTAAGATCTTCTTTTACCGCCTGCCTGCATTGTTTTGCAAGTTCGGACGTTAGTTCGCGGTTTCCCGCAGTTCGTGCGATTCCACACTGGCATATCAGCTCGAATGTTTCTGGAGACAGACGTCTTTTGGTGACTTTCGAACTCTCAGCTTTCATAGAGCTAACGTGAAGATATTGAATGGACCCGGAAGTATACCTCGTAGATGTTATCGACCACGGCATCTTCCCAACTCCCGACTAATGAATTGGAAACATCCCAGTTTGTGGTGGTTCTGGCACTTCGGTTTTTGAATTTAGAGGCTTCTTCTCCTTTCCGCGAGAAATAGAAAAATAGAATCTTGCACGAACGAAGGAGGCGATGATCGGATTCCGTGTAGAATTTTGGGACATTTGCGACATCGGTAAGACAAAACCTTTAAATTTATTTTAATACTATTGGTATACTACTTTAAAATTTACTATGGTGTGGTCTGTTTCGTTATGGCACTCTCCATTGGGAGATTCCCACGTCCAACGTTGGGTGTGGGACTTCTGGAATCGCGAGTTAGCACGAATGGTCTTGGTCGCCATGATAAACTTAGATAGCTGCTCACCCTTTTCATTGCATTCTAATCCGTGGATCTCAATATGACGTTCCTCAGACGTTCTCCTTGGTCCAATCTTGACGTTGAAATCTCCAATGATGACCTTGAAGAATGTATGGTCTTCTCTGTGGAACTTCTCCAAGTCCATTTAGAATGCTTCGACTTCTTTTTCGTCATAGTTAGATGTCGGAGCGTAAAAGGCAAAGATTGTCAAAGCCGGTGTTGTTCCACATCTCTTCAATCGTGTACGTCCGATTCGGGTTGTAAGTTGTTCGAATGAATGGATGTTCATAGACAAACTCGTGTTGACGAGAACGCCTACGCCGCCGACTCCTCTGCTGTCACATGTTCCGAGGAACAGTTCTTCTCCGGTGTCATAGACGGCGTTGAAAGGCTGGCGTCCTCTCGTCTCGGCCAGGCCGATGACGTCGTACCTTACCCTTCTTGCTTGCATAAGAAAGTCGTCTATCGAGCACTCGGATGCAAGTGTACGTGCATTGTAGGTACAGTTCTTTCCCATCACCATAGTTTTTCGTGATCCAGGCAGCTTCCATTGGCACTGAGATTTTATCAGCCTCTCCGTACTCGTCCTACCCAACGCTGCGAAATTGGGGGCTCTTCCGGGGTCAGGGAAATGAGGCCCGTTTTTTCTTTTACTGTGTTTAGCATTTTGATACCCACGTGTAGCTTTCTGGGCTCTATACGTGGGAGCTGGGTATACTCACGGGTAGTTTGCCAGGTTCTCCCAGAGTGCACATGGAGCTTATTTATTGGAGGCGACTCCTAACCGCCTCCCATATACTTCCCAGTCACTTCATTGCAGGCTTTTGGCTGAACTGATTCCTAGAATACAATCCGCTTAAGCGAGAACGCACCCGCACACGCATGCATGAATACGCCTAGCAAATACAGAAAGTATGCGCCAAATCAGCACAGCAGAAACACGGAGTCCATCCCCTGGATCCACCTGCGTCTCAGGGAAGCAAAGGTCGCTTATGGTCCGCGATTAACCCCCTATCCGCCACCTGGAGACGCGCCACGTAGCCTCACGACTAAACGGCTCGAGACTCCTCATGTGAGGGAGATCCGTGGCGTTGGGAGGGTAACGACAATATATATATATATATACGTATATATTTATGTATATATATAATGTATATGAGTGCGTGGGTAAAAAATCGTTTGTAACTTGTACACATATATATAAAATTTAATAAGTTTTTTATATATCTACCTAGATGACCTGTCTTCTATCAACGATTCAGTTCCCGGCGCTTCTTTATTCGGTTCGCTTCCTCACAACCATTCTGAGCACAGGTCTTCAAAGTTTTGCAAGTAGGTTCGACCGCTCTTTGACTGCTTTTCTTCATTAATGTCGCTTTCCTCCCAACGGTTTACCGTCTTATCGTGGCTGGGAGATGTTTCTGGGTGTCGGACTGCGATGTACAGCGAAGGATTCGTCCCCTCGGCAGGGTCTCCCAAGCGGAGAAGGAGTCCGGCGTTTCCATCAGGAAGCCTAGCTAGAAGTAAACAAATACCAGAATCCACCACCGTTCTGGTATCAAAGTCGCATGGTGGTAAATCTTCCTCTGATCCACAAGGGCGGTGCCTGCCTGTGGTGGTGACGACCTGGGGCAGACTTTGGCCAGGCTGACCTCGACATTCCAGGGAGCCACAATGGCTTAGCCAGAAAATCTCCGATAAATGGTGATTATGCTGGGACTCATACAACCACTGAGGGCGGGCCATTCAAGTATAAAGTAAGTAATGTCGCTTTATGTTGGTCCAGTCGCTTTGGAATCTTGAGATAGCCGGGCTACGGTGTTTCCACGCCGATTGAGGAGAGTAGGCTGATCACACACAAATGGGATACCAGTTTGCTGACCGCTTAGAGATGTGAGCCCTGATTTGTTCGGTGCACAATTGCTCCTGAGCTTTGCTCCTAATAAATCGCATCACTACTACTGCTCTAGACACTCCTAACAAACAATGGTTAATAATTTAATAATTCACCCTGCAGCTGTGATTGTCTAGTTAAGCGAATAGTGCGGTTTAACTGACTGCGAATACCGGAATTCCGATCCCATTGGCGGTTGGTAGCTGTCAGCCATTTTGGAATATTGTAAGAAATCAGATCCACTTTAGTTTTACAGGAAGCTTGATTAATTTCAGTGGAATTTAAAAAGCTCTTCTCAGTGCTACCTGGGAATTCTAAAAAGCTAATATGGACCCACCAGCTGAAGCCATATTGATCTGTTCGATTGCACGGAACTTGTTTTGTGAAGTAGGAGTTGTTTACTATAAAAAAAAGTTGTTATGTCTTTATAAATCCTTGAAGTAACCTTCACAAAAAGACTCGATATCGATGAAGTTAAAAGTTGCGTCTGCACTGAAAAGAGCTTCATATGGATCGTTTTCTTTGTGGTGCTTTATTTTGGCGTAGAGAACCCTTTTCTTACAATTCTGGTAATCAATCGATAGGTTGTCCATCATAAGTGTTCGACTTGAGTCGACCATGAAAAATTATTTTATACTGTGGAATCTACAAAACCTCCCAACGGTTTACCTCATCTGGCTGGGAGGTGTTTCTGTGTATCGGACTGCGATGTACAGCGGTGTGATTCGTCCCTCCGGCAGGGTCTCCCAAGCTGAGGAGTCCGGCGTTTCCATCAGGAAGCCTAGCTAAGAGTAAACCAATACCAGGATCCACCACCGCTCTGGTTTCGTAACGCGTTCACTACCACACCATGTGGGTAATAATGATAATAATAGTAATATTAATAATAATGATAATAATAATAACAATAATAATAATAACAGTATGTATTCTTTCTTGATAAGCTTACGCGAGGTTGATAAATATATTTATTCTCGGCTAACGTTTCGACGTCTTCGTCTTCCTCAGAGCCGATGATCCGAGTCGATGGTCCACGCTTGTTATTCGTTTCGACGTGGCAACCTCGCCTTCGTGTCGAGTCAGGTCTTCCTCAGCGAGCCATCTCCTCGAATTGCTGTGGACCATCGACTCGGATCATCGGCTCTGAGGAAAACGAAGACGTCGAAACGTTAGCCAAAAATAAATACATTTATCAACGCGTCGGCTTATCAAGAAAGAATACATATTGATTAGTCACACCGAGGTTCAAGGAAAGTCGGTTTCGAAATAATAACAATGATAACTGTAATGAGATTAGTTCTTTTTTAAATCGAAAGATGAATCTGTGTTCGATGAACACGATGATTACTGCTCAATGAGTGGTTGCGGAAAGTGTACTTGAAATGCCACACATTTCGAATGAAATTTAGTACATTACATAAACAGACAATATTGCCAATAAACTCCATAAATACCACAGACTTTTCGACTTTTCATGAGCAGGTTCATTTGTAAGGATTGTCAGAAGGAACTGTGGAAACATTACAATGAAGTGTTTTGTATCCTTTGCTTGAAGTGGAGGAGAAAAGCGACGGAGCTAATGAGGGACAGAAGAAGATAGAATGGGATGTGAGTATGCATTGAGAGGGACGTGAAATTCAAGAATAGGAAAGGGATTTAAGATGGGACTAGAAAGGTACGGAAAGCAACTAAAATTCAGCTGCTTGACAGCTCTTTGCTGGTTGTAGGAAGGACATGATACCGATTCGGAACTCCGGTGAAAAGGATTCTATGCGAACAAACGAAGATTGATGAAATTTCAGCAGCAATAGTGAGATTTTTGGAAAGGTCTGTGCGACTGCCGTGTTTGGACTTTATGCAGCACCAGTGGGAACATTCAAATATGGTCTTCGTTGCTCACTTTAATTCGTTGTGGTTTATACCATATTTGGAGAGATCAATATGGTAGGGTTCTCATTACGGAAATTCCATGAATATGGTGTTTTAAAACTTCAATCCTGTCTCGTTTTAAGGCGTAACAAGACCATTCACCGTTTCCAACTTGGACAAGTATTACAACCGCAGGGAGCTGAAGTAGGAGCAAGATTCGTGACTCCATTTGGGCTTCGAACCTGTGATTAGCCATACCGGAGCGTCATATGCTATCCTCCACTCCAACTGAGGCCTTTACTTTGCATGTCCTTCAGCAATATTTTTACTCTATCAATGATATCAGAAATCACATGTTAGCTGGAATGAAGAACGAAGAATCAGAAAAAAATCAAACTTTCTCAAGTTAGGCTGAGAGAAAGGCAGATCAAAGGCTTCGGTCGGTGTGGTGGATAGCACGTGAACACCCAGTAAATGTAACCGTGGGTTTGATGAACATATGGGCGCCCTAGTTTCGCTTATTTCTTAGCTTCTTTGTGGTTGAATTTCATATCGTACCCTGCCGTTAAAAAGAATAGGCAATGAATGAAGGTTAAACATCCGTGAAATAAGTTTGTTTTCCATCTAGTCCTCGACATTGAATTTTAGCCGGGATGGAAAATTTGAAGACAGTGTATTATCAGGATATTTTCTTCGTATTTTTGTTGAGCAAACGCGAGGTGTTACTATTCTTTGTTCACGATTAAGCTGACGTTTCGGCGGATTTCGCCTTCTTCAGAGCCTGGAAAGGTCAAGTTGATAGCAATCCACTCGGCCAGACGCCTCCATAACCAAACAAAGAAACTCCAAACCAAGATTTCAATCACTTTGAACACAGCTTTGCACACTCACCGCTTTCTATGAGGTTTCCACTAAGTATGTCACATAGAGACCAACCGCACAGAAATCACGTGGAAGTATAATGTGCCCCTCATATCAGAAAAGCAGTTTTATATACTGCCCTATATCACGCGTGATAATGAGGCATTCTTTCCTGCAGTTCATTTTCGGATTTCTGGAATTAATCCAGAGTGCCTCGAGAGTCTTTCGCGCCTGTGTTCTTGATTCGCGTGCGAGGATCGTGACACATACTTCGAAGTCGTCCCCGTTATGTCTCTGGGTCCTATGCGTGCCTAGCGGGGTATTTGGTCTATTTTTGCCGGCTAGGTGTTCTTTTTTNCCCCGCTAGGCACGCATAGGACCCAGAGACATAACGGGGACGACTTCGAAGTATGTGTCACGATCTTTGCACGCGAATCATTACCTCGCTCTACTAGGTCCAATGCTAAAGTAGCTTTGCGAAGAAAATTTGAAGACCTTTTGAGTAAATCACAGAACACAGCTTCAATAGCGCACAAAAATATCGCTAAAGAACATCAGATCACATTAGGATAGGTAATGTGCAAGAAAATTCAAGGCTAACCGTATTAGGAGGCATAACTCTCCCTGACGGTGCGCGTTCGTTATTAGAATTGGGGCCGAGTTTCTCACCATCTGAACCCATTTCTAAGATAACCTTGCGTAGGGTCGCATGT